CGCGTCTGTTTTCCTTCCAACCTCCCCTTTGTTACTGCTGCAGCAGCAGCGACGACGGTGACAGATCAGGTACCAACTGTTCCTCAGCGTTGCCGCTGCTCCGGGCGGACCCAGATCACATGGTGGTAAAACTACCCGTGGCTCGCCAGTTCTAGTGAATTTGTAGCTTTGGGAACAAAACCGTTGGCTGTTTTTATGCGCGAGCTGGGCTTACGCACCGCCTCCGTCCGGGTAGGAGCACGGGACGCGAAGGAGCTGTGTCTGCTGCTCTGCTTTACAGTGGGAGGGATCATTACTAGGGAACAATATTTTTGGACCTACTTTGGCGAATATTCTGCAGGCAAACATTGCATGGAATGCAGCGTTCTCCCAGTCTGCCTTGTTTTCTTGAAATCGCTCGTTTTGCATAAAAATCTGTGCTCTTAATGCATACAGGGGGGCATGCAATTGGCATTACAGCTCTTCTCAGTCTCTGAAACTGATGTTTAGCAACCATCTTGCAGCCTGATCGGATACCAGATGAACCTCATGTTTTCTGGGGTGCATCGTAAGACTGGTTTTGCAGTATTCTGATTTTTAAAATTTTAATGTCTCTATTTAAGAGAACTGAGCTTGGGTTATAAAAGATTTCATGATCCGGTAGTTGAATATTAAAGCCTTTCAACTTAATGGTGGTGTATTTTAGCAAATTGCAAGGTGAAAAAGCTGAAAAATTACAATGCTGGAAGAAATTATAGTCCTTATTGCGGCTCGCTGTAAAAGTTAAAGTTGGGTGGTTGGTTGGGGCACGGAAGTATTTCAGTGCAGCGTTGCTGTGAAATCACAGCACGTGTTGTCTGTCTTGTTGGCCAAGAGAGGAAAACCAGCTGCCTCATCCTGGGCTCACACACACTTACTGCGTTCTTTGACCCAGTGTCATCGTGCTTTTTGTCCTCGTGACACTGCTGGGCTCTTTCAGGTGTTCTCTGGCTTCGGGGAATCTGGCTGAAGTGGATTCAGCTGCTCAGCTCGGTTCTTGCGCATCCCTAAAGCATTGTGTCGCAGATTGCCCTAATGAAAACTTCCACGTTGACTTGCAGATGCGTAGGTCTCAGAATCATGGAATCTTTAGGTTGGAAAGGACCTTTAAGATCATCAATTACTGTTAACCCTACACTGCTCATCCCACCACTGACCCATGTCCAAGCACCTCATCCACACGGCTCTTAGACCCCTCCCGGGACGGTGACTCCCCCCTCCCTGGGCAGCCCCTTCCAATGTCTGACAGCCCTTTCCAGGAAGAAATTCCTCCTAATATCCAATCTAAACCTTCCCTGGCACAACTTCCTCTTGTCCTGTCACACATCCCTCTGCGGATGGCTACCCTACCTCTCCCAGGGCCAGATGAGGTGGAGTCCTTCCTTGCACACACACTTCCATGCCTATCCAATCTTTCCCTGGCACAACTTCCTCTTGTCCTGTCACACATCCCTCTGCGGATGGCTACCCTACCTCTCCCAGGGCCAGATGAGGTGGAGTCCTTCCTTGCACACACACTTCCATGCCTTCCCTCTAGCAACTTCCGCAGCTGTTTACGTCAGTGAATGTTTTCTGGCTCCGTGTGGGAAGAGTTCACAGCCAGTCAGTGCTTATCCGCACCTGCCATTGGAGCGCCTGCAAGGAGTGCACTTGGTTCTTTGTTTGGCATTTCGTTCTAGGCTGTTTCCCTCGGCAGGGTTGGCTTGTGTCCTTTGCTGGTTTCTCACAGTGTCTACTCCAGCCAGCGAGAAGAAAAGCCTCACTGATCATGTTTAAAATGAATTTTTCTCATCTCTCTTGATGTTTTGCATTATGAAGATGCTCAGAGGGCTGGAGCCCCTCTCCTATGGGGACAGGCTGGGAGAGTTGGGCTTGTTCAGCCTGGAGAAGAGAAGGCTCCAGGGAGACCTTATTTCAGACTTGCAGTACCTGAAGGGGCTACAAGGAAGCTGGGGGGGACTTTTTACAAGGGCCTGGAGTGACAGGACAAGGGGTAACGGGTTTAAATTGCAAGCAGGGAGGTTTAGATTAGATATCAGGAAGAAATTCTTCACGGAGATGGTGGTGAGGCACTGGCACAGGTTGCCCAGAGAAGCTGTGGATGCCCCACCCCTGGATGTCTTCCAGGCCAGGCTGGATGAGGCTTGGAGCAACCTGGTCTAGTGGAAGGTGTCCCTGCCCATGGCAGGGGGGTTGGAACTACATGGTCTTTAAGGTCCCTTCCAACCCAAACCATTCTGTGATTCTGTGATTACATAAAACGAGAAGTGGAGGAAACTAGCAAACACACTTGCCTAATACCGAAACGGTGACATTCCTAGATCCTTTCTCATTTTAGCGGTTGTATTCCTTGCTTTAAGATGCTTTTTTAATTCATTTGCGCTGTGTGTGACAAAATTCTTCCTCATCCAACCCATCTCGTGGTGCTCAGGTGGATGAAGATTTCTTCTCATCTGTCTGTTTGGAGAACGTGACATCAGAAGACAAAACCAGTTACTTTTACGCAAAGCCAGAAATTTCAATTTAGATTATTAGATTTATAAATGATACAGAGTTGCCAAGTCTGTGCTGTAAAACAACCTAAAATGCATTTTTGCCCTTTGCCAGTATTACTTTAGGAGTCACGCTTGTTCATCTTATTTAAGAAAAGAATATTATACCAGAGTTTTCAGTAAAGGGCTCTGCAGGAAGTTATTTAGATAAAAATGTGCAGTGCAGAAGGCTGGCCAGAAGACTTTTAGATTTTACTTAGATGAGATTTACTTAAATTTTACTTAGAAATTAATGAAAGTATTGAAAACAAAAGTTTTACACATAGATGTTTCTTGGCAAAAAATAATACCCAGATGCCATAAACGTATATCAAATTAATACACGTCTCAGACGTTTGTGCACGGGTCTAGATGACTGTGCTGTGTTCAGTCAGGAAAGAGTTAACTCTCTCTACCGTGGCTGCTAGGAAGCTGTTCCTGGATGCAGAGAGCAGCACTGAGAAGGTCTCAGCTGGCGCTGGGCAATGCCTGCACTGAATTCAAGGTCTTTCTCCCCTTCTGACCCTGCAGCTGCATTCCCAGCTCTCGCTGTCTCGCTACAGGCAGTGCTGGGACACACAGCTCAGGCAGCTGACCCCAACTGACCAAGGGGGTATTTCATTCCATAGTACGTCATGCTGGGGGCAGAGGCGAGGAGGGGGTCCGGGAGCCATTACTGTTTCTTACTCTTTTGCTCATGTTAACTCCCGTTACTCCCGTACACTTGCTAACCCTCACCCTGACTCCTGCATTAGCGGCTTTGCTAACTCCTGTGCTGGCTCCTTCGTGGGGGAGTTGGTGGGGTTGTTCAGTTTTCCCAGCCGTGCTATCACTGATAGGGTTCGCTTGGAATCTGCTGCGACACCTCTTGGGCTCCAGCCCTCAGGCTGCGGCTCTCGAGCTGTGGCTCTCGGGCTCTCTGGATCCGATACTTACTACTTAGCACCTGGTTGTGCACTGGCCAGTGGGTGGTGAGCAACTGTATCATATTGCATCATATGCTTTATTTTTCTATTATTTTAATTATTCATTAGTAGTAGTATTTGTATATATTACAAGAGCACTGTCTCTTCCCGTGATTTCATTTCAGCTGTAATGATGTTCCATTGGATCCTGAAAGTTGGAGTTCTTCTGGGAAATGTCCAGTTCATACTTTGTCCCTGCAGGATTGATCTTCAGAATGTGTAGTCTAAAATCACAGGACGGTTTGGGTTGGAAGGGACCTTAAAGCCCATCCAGTTCCAACCCCCCTGCCATGGGCAGGGACACCTTCCACTAGACCAGGTTGCTCCAAGCTTCATACAGCCTGGCCTTGAACACTTCCAGGGATGGGGCATCCACAGCTTCTCTGGGCAACGTGTGCCTGTGCCCCACCGCCCTCTAAATATCCCCACCCTCAATTTAAACCCGTTACCCCTTGTCCTGTCACTCCCTGCCCTTGTACAAAGCCCCCCCCAGCTTCCTTGTAGCCCCTTCAGGCACTGGAAGGTGCAATAAGGTCTCCCCGGAGCCTCCTCCAGGCTGAACACCCCCAACTCTCACAGCCTTTTCTCAGAGGAGAGGTGCTCCAGAGTCCTTCCTGCATGTCAGTACTACTCTCTCTCCCATCTTCAGTCTAGTGTTCTCTGGAACAATCCATCCTGGTTTTTCAGCCTTTCTCAGCAGGGCTTGCCTGCTGCTGTCCAGTAACTCTGACCGGCTAGCTCCGAACTCTTCAGCTGGATCCCATCTTGAAGTGCGTGTGTGGCCCTGGTGGCACCCAGTAGCCACATGAGGTGTGAACAGGGCTGACGGCCGCGGCAGGCTCCTGTCAGTCATCCCGTTGGCTGTTCTCTGGTTCCCACATCCATCTGTCGTCATCGGTTTTTCCGCAGCAGCCTGACCGCGTTGATTGTCGAGGCTGGCAGAGAACGGCTGTGTGGGTGGTTATTTGTTCCCTGGTATTTCTGGAGTTGATTGTTCCTGCCTGGGTCTAAAACCTGGCACTTGTCCACTTTGGATTGCGTCCCACCTTGACGTAGTTTATACAGTTCAGTGTGATTTTGAATTCCTGTTTCATCTTTCAGCACCTCCAGGGGTGGTGGTAGTTATGGGTCTGACAGCATAATCTTCATCACAACAACATTATTTTTGAGTTGGGCTTTAATTGCTTTTTACCCCCCAGTTCAGTCAGTTCTGTGGTGCCTGCAACCTTCAGGTACTGCTGTTTGTCCAAATTCATTGGAAATCTCTTAAATTACGCGTGCAGGAAATTGTGATCGTACGAGATTCAGCGCATAATTCCAACTAAAATAACTTGTGTTCCGTTGAAACCTCCTCTTGGGATGCTTCTGCCTAGCGACAGCTTCCAGCAGTGCTAATTGCAGCGTTAATTTCGGTATCGGTGCACTTAACTTCTTCTTTTCTCTCCCAAAGAAAAGAGCGGCTGGTGTACGTGGGTATCAGCATTGAGAACATCATTCCACCCCAGGTGAGTTACGGTGTCCGCACTGTACCGTTGTTTTCTTTTCCAAACTCCTCAGGGAAGAAGTTTCTTGGTGGGTTAGAGCGATAGTCGTGTCTGGGGAAGAAAACAGCCATCTCTGTGCAGGTCAGAACCGACCCTGGAGTCTTCGGTTTAGGCTGAGATTGAGTTTCGGGGGGAGACCAGGACGGCTCCATCATGTCTGTGGGAGCGGGCTGGTGCCACACCAAGTCCGTGGAGTCCCCTCCCTACCCGTCGCAGCTGGGTTTCGGGGAGGGTGCTCTACCCTTCCGTAGTTCATAAAGGTGGGATTCGGGTTTTTTAGCGCTCTCTGCTGTACAGCTGTCGAGGTCTGAGCTCATTGCTGTAGCTTTCCATTGGAACTGTTGAAAACAAACGTTTCTGGCTTCGGATTTGGAGGGAGCACCGAGGTGTCTGTTAGAAGCACAACCTCTGCCTCCAGCAAATGTACCTTCAAGTCACGTGCTCAGAACCCACAGACGTGTAGGGGTTTATTAACAGGTGTTTTTATATATCTTCCCTTTACAGAAAAATGCTTTTATGCATGCGGGGAACAGCTGCTTCTCCCGTTCTAAATCCATTTTCAAGTGATCTTCTGGAAGTCTTAGCCTTTGTCCGAAACGATGCAGTCTGTAGGGTAAACACGGTGACACAGTCGCCTGGCCCCTCCAACTCCGAGCCTGCGAAACGGTGGGGCCGGTGAGGGCCGTGTGTGCGTGCCTGGGCGGGAGCTCTGCCCGGACGAGTCACGGTGGTAGAAGCCGAAACGCGTGGTGTCGGGCGCGGGAGCTTTCTGGAGCGCGGGAACGCCGGTGTCGTCGCGCTCCAGGCACGATGAGCGTGAGGGAGGGAGACAAAGCCATCTGTCACTTCTGTCGTTTGTGAACAGGAGCCAGAAATACCCGAAGGTCATGAAGAAAAGAAGAAAGATTCCAAAAAGCCAAAATCGAAGCTGCTTGAAAGGAGGTCTACCAGAACCCGGAAGTGCATAAGCTACAGGTCAGTAGCGTGGGAAACAGAAAAGTCGCGTTTTCCTTGGCTTTCTGAAGCAAGCCGCCGCTTCTCCCGCACGCGTTCGCGTCTGAGAGGCCCAGCTGAAGCGTCTCTCTCCCTTCCTCAGAGGAACTGAGCTGCAGCGACTGAGGTGCTGTAGCGAAGGGATGATGCGTTAAAAAAATACCCATGGTGCCTTGTTTGGAGACGGTTTTGGTGTTACTGCAGTTTCTGGAGTGAGTTAAAGCAGGTGAATCGTCCTCCCGACTTATGCTTGTGTCTGAAGGCCTGAAGTTCCTGTCTCTCTTCCTCCCCCCTTCTTTCTGTGAAAGGGGCATGAAACTAAAAATGCCATTGTGAGACCCTGTGTCCAAATTGGTCTGTAATTCCAGAGAAAGTGTGATAAAAAGGCAGTAAGTAAATTAAAACTGCAAGATATTTAGACTCTCTGCGTTCTGACAGTCGAACAGGTCCCTGAAGTTCCCAAATTTCAGCGTGATGTTAAGACTACCTTTTGTTCTTGTGTTGTTGCTAAGGTAAAAGGGCAGAAGGTGTGACCCTCCTTAGCTGTTGACTTGCAGTGACTTTTGACGTGACCGGCGGAATCCACGGGAATGGAAGTGCCGTCGCCGCCTTGGGAAGGGCAGGCGGTGTGTCTGTGAGGAGAGTTATGCATGACATAAGGCCAGGTTACGTGGATGTTTGTGATGGGTCGATCCACGGGAATGGAAGTGCCGTCGCCGCCTTGGGAAGGGTGGGCGGTGTGCCTGTGAGGAGCGTTACGCCACAGGCCAGGTTACGTGGATGTTTGTGACGGGTCGGGCAGCATCTGACCAGCAGCAAAACCACCTTGCCTCTAGGGTGTCTGGCACGACTCCAGCAGGACACGCGTTGTGCAAAGACGGCAAGTTTTATTGGAAGTGTGGTTTCATAGAGTGTTTTTCTGGAAAAATCAGTCTTTGATACAAAATTCTAGTCTTTCTGGCAGACTCCGTCATACACAACTTTGAGCTGGTGAAAATACAGCTTTCCAGTAGCTTTCCAATTGCAGCTTTCCAGTATCTGAAGGGGGCCTACAGGGGTCCTGGGAGAGGACTTTTTACAAGAGCCTGTAGTGACAGGACAAGGGGTAATGGGTATAAATTGAAATCAGGGAGGTTTAGATTAGATATCAGGAAGAAATTCTTCACAGAGAGGGTGGGGAGGCACTGGGACAGGTTGCCCAGAGAAGCTGTGGATGCCCCATCCCTGGAAGTGTCCAAGGCCAGGCTGGATGTGGCTTGGAGCAACCTGGTCTAGTGGAAGGTGTCCCTGCCCATGGCAGGGGGGTTGGAACTAGATGATCTTTAAGGTCCCTTCCAACCCAAACCATCCCATGATTCTATGATGCTACGCGTGCCAGCGCGGCGCTTCCGATCCATACGTCCGCTGTGCCGTCCCGCTGGCGTCCCCGGGCACTGTGCACGCTTCCCTGCAGCGGGGCAGGACGAAGGCTCAGGGTCTCGTTCCGCTTGCAGACGGATCTGCCTCGTGTGGCGCTCCGGTTCTCTGGAGATCTGTAATCCCTTTGTTTCACCCGGCTCATCTCTGGGGTCCTCTCGTGAGCGGGTCGGGGGAGATCTGCCTGGTACGAGTACAGCAGCAGCAGTCGTGTCCCGTTACAGCTGGCGGACGGGCAGCTGTCTGGCGGACGGGCGGCTGTCGGCTCCCGTTGGAGCTCGGGATACTGGTTTTGAGGGATTTGAGGGCGTTGAGTGATTTCTCACACTTGAGAGGGGGGGTGTTAGCGGCGTGGTGTGTGAGTGAAGTGGAACTACTCTTACTGATGGGATGGTTTCAGAGTTACGCCCTCGCTGTGTAAAGCTGCCTTGAACGTGACACACGGTTGTTCCTAGGGAATGGAAAGAGACCTGAAATCCTTATTTATTAAAGGAGACCGTGTTTTACTGTTACTGTTGGAATACAGAGTAACATGAGATCTGTTCTTTTCTGTTTCTGCTGGAGAGCTGTGCCTAAACCTGTCTGTATCGCTGTACAGAACTGTGCTGTGATGGTGTAACTGTGATCCTTCTTTTCCTGACTGAGAAACTGAATCGGTACTGAAAGGATTATCCAATTCTTAGTTGTTTGTATCTAAAAAAAAATCCCCCTAAATTAATTTTTTAAAAAATTAGAACAACTTGCACCAAAATAAAATGTCTTTCCTATGTAGTTAATAAAATCTGTACTTTTTCATGTTATATCTCAAGGCATCTATGTGGTGACACAGTTATCGAACCCTTTTTATGGGACATGCAGTCAAAACGGAAGGAACAACCTGAAATCCTGTGGAAAAAGGGCCCAGTCCTTGTCGTCCATTGGCTGTTCCCTCTAAAGGCGTTAACCCAGTGTGCAGAGATTTAGGTGTTTTTATAAAAGACGCTGCAGGACAAATGTGCTGAAATCTTTTGCTTTGGCTTGCCTCACTTAGCCATGTAGCATCACATTTTAGCTCATTTGCATAGAATTAGAAAGACCCGCGTTTGGTATGTTTTATCTGAGGGTGCTCAGATCCATAAAGTACAGTTACTGGGAGGTGTAAGCGGGGCGGACACTATCAGAACTTTCAGATTACAGACTGCTAAGCTCGGTGGTCATGTCGGGTGACGGTGCTTTTCTCTTCCCATAAACCAGTAGCGAGCAAGGACAAGAACACACCTTTAAAAAATGTCTATTTTAGCATCAAGCTGGCCCACTGTCTGTTATTTCACTGCGTTGTCTGCGCAGTGTGATTTCTGGGAGCAGTTTTAGAGTTCGAGTTATGTTTTCATCATAATTCAATTAGGGTTCTCTTCAGAGTGGTAAAAGACAGCTGTTACTTGTAGGTTTGACGAGTTTGATGAGGCGATTGATGAGGCGATTGAAGACGATATCAAGGAGGCTGACGGAGGAGGTATGTCTGTCATGTTCTTTGGGTTTCCTTGCAATCGATAGGAAAATTGAGACCAAATTTATTTTGCTATGAGAGGCAATAATCCCCTCCCTTTGTAGCTTCCACCGCTGTGTTTTCATAATCAGAGTAGGTAAATTCCTTGGGAATGGCCACCCCAGGCTGTCAAAAGATGCCAAAAAGTATTTGGCCTCGATAGTTGAATTCAGCTTGTCCATGTTTTGAGATATGAATGCAGTGAGTAAGCGTAAGAAACCTCTTAAATGGGTTTGCCAAGTCTGGGGTTTGAGCTTGGAGTGGCAGCCAGCGCTGTTGACATTGGACCCCTGTAAAAACTGGGCTCATGACTTGGCCCACAGTTGGAGCCCCTAAAGACTGGGTCTGCAGAGTTGTCTTCACAGGGTTGATCCGGATGTGTACGCACTTCAGGTGAACGTGAGTGAATTGAAATGGTGTTTGTTGCCTGTTAGGGCAACACAGGGGACCAAATGCCCCATCCCTGGGAGTGTCCAAGGCCAGGCTGGATGAGGCTTGGAGCAACCTGGTCTAGTGGAAGGTGTCCCTGCCCATGGCAGGGGGGTTGGAACTGGATGATCTTTAAGGTGCCTTCCAACCCAAACCGTTCCGTGATTCTGTGATTACATGAAATAGAGATCCTCAGCTGTATCGGAGAGATGTAGATGGATTTGTGCTTCTGCATCTCCTTAGCTTGCCTGGAAAGAACTGCCATAAAAGGTTATCCCTGTTGTTCGGCTGGTGGCATCTCCTTAAAGACAATGACCTGAAAATGGGGCGTCTGTGGGTGCGCAGCACGCGACCCGTGTGATAAACATAACCAAGCCTGAGCAGTAAAACCAGCTTTTAGAAACTCACCTTCCTGGCCAAGCAGTGATCCAAACGCTTCCTCTCCCACGAGGATGCTGGGCATTACGAGGAATATGGGTTTGCCGCTTCTGCCCTTCTCCAAAGGCACTAGCAGTGGGGGGAGTGTGGGCTGGGGTGGAGGGTCGGGGTGCTGGCACTCACCTGCTGTCTCTGCGCAGACCCCAGTGACCACAGCTGGGGCTGTGTGAGAGGAACAAGACCCCAGGCAGAGTCTCCCATGGAAAAAACATTCGGCTTTACCGGCATAAAACTGAAGCTAGAGGCGCGGAAGAAAGATAAAGTTAAAGAAAACATAAACTTGCTCTTATTTCCGCCTTTCTATCTCTGAATTCAGGCATTGGCAGAGGCAAAGACATGTCTAATATCACGGGTCACCGTGGAAAAGACATTTCCACAATCCTAGAGGAAGAAAGGAAGGAAAACAAGCGACCGCAAAGGGCCGCTGCAGCACGACGCAAGAAACGACGGCGACTGAATGACTTGGACAGTGACAGTAACCTGGACGAGGAAGAGAGTGAGGATGAATTCAAGATCAGTGACGGGTAGGTCTGCTGCAGTTTTAACTTCCACCGCGCAGCAGAAAGCGCTGCAGGCTTCTGTGACACCGTGGTGACCCCAAAACGGCGATTGTGCCAGCAGAACGGCGCAGTGCCAGCAAAAGTCCTTCTCACTGAGGGAAACGGCACTCCGGATCCGTGCGCCGAAATCATCCACTCTGCATTCTAAGGGAAACACATCTGGCAATGTTACTGGTGTGTTTGAGGCCATGCTGTGGGGTTGAGTTCGTGGTTACGGATGGGCTCGGTTCCCTGACTGATGTGACTGTCGAGCAGAAATCCGTAACAAAGATGGGAGTTTAAATGAAGCTGGTTGTTTCCTTTGGGAAATATGTCCTGTTTTGTGGGTTTTTTATTGGGTCTAATTGTCATTTGGAAATGGGAAGAGTAAAATTTAGAGCATACAGAACGTGACAGAACTTGGTAGGACAAGGGGTGATGGGTTTAAAAAACTGAAAGCGGGGAGGTTTAGATTAGATATCAGGAAGAAATTCTTCACAGAGAGAGTGGTGAAGCACTGGGACAGGTTGCCCAGAGAAGCTGTGGATGCCCCATTCCTGGAAGTGTTCAAGGCCAGGCTGGATGAGGCTTGGAGCAACCTGGTCTAGTGGAAGGTGTCCCTGCCCATGGCAGGGGGGTTGGAACTAGATGATCTTTAAGGTCCCTTCCAACCCAACCCAGCCTGTGATTCTTTGCCATAGAGTCCTGAGGAGGCCACCAAGATGCTCAGAGGGCTGGAGCCCCTCTGCTGTGATGAAAGGCTGAGAGAGTTGGGCTTGTTCAGCCTGGAGAAGAGAAGGCTCTGGGGAGACCTTATAGCACCTTCCAGTACCTGAAGGGGCTACAAGGAAGCTGGGGGGGACTTTTTACAAGGGCCTGTAGTGACAGGACAAGGGGGAACGGGTTTAAATTGAAAGCGGGGAGGTTTAGATTGCATGTCAGGAAGAAATTCTTCCCTGAGAGAGTGGTGAGGCACTGGCACAGGTTGCCCAGAGAAGTTGTGGATGCCCCATCCCTGGAAGTGTTCAAGGCCAGGCTGGATGAGGCTTGGAGCAACCTGGTCTAGTGGAAGGTGTCCCTGCCCATGGCAGGGGGGTTGGAACTAGATGATCTTTAAGGTCCCTTCCAACCCAAACCATTCCGTGATTCCATGACATGCAGATTTTGATTTCTGCTCTCCAGGAGATGGAGTTTGAAAACAGCCAAAGAGGTGGTTTATGCCGTAGAAAACAAATGTGTGTTATGTGAAGCTTTAAATGCTCAATGAGTGTTACTCTGGCTAACTGAAACTCTCTTTCCATGGAATTTCTCACTCTGGGGAATTCCTAATGCTAAAAAATTTAATAATAATTTATACATCCTTCATGCCTCGGTGAAGAACCGTAATGGAACATGAGGTCTGGCCTCTTTTACCATCGGTATTTAAAGCTTGACACCAGTCCCTCAGTCAGTTTACAAAGCGTATGGATAATCTATACAGCACAGATGCAGATGTTGAGCTTGGTTATTCACCCGTGACCGTGCTGAGGACATTTCAGTTGGAACAGCTGAGCTAAACGTGCTGGAAATTTCCAGTCAGCGGGTGTAGAATTAACAGCACATTGATCTGTTCAAGTGGGCTGGTGTGTTTTCAACTCCATCCTCTGCTGAATGCCTTCTGGGTGCTGTACTGGAATTCAGTTCAGCGGGGGGCCAGATGCAGGTGGCAGTGTACGCCCGGTGCTCGTTGGTTTTTTAAGAGGCTGAAGTGAGAGGAGTTTTACCAGCTGATAAGTTCGTGAGGCGCGTGTCTTGCCGTGCAGGCAGAGGTTTTGTGTTAAGACACAGTGTTCTGATTGTCACAAACTGCGCAGGACAGCGCGTGGTTCGTGAAGGGGGTGTCGTCTCTGCTAGAACAGGGTTGGGTGAAGTACAAGGGCTGTTTCCAATCTCTGTTGTCTGTGGCCTCTCTTTGAGCAGATCTCAGGACGAGTTTGTTATATCGGAGGAAAATCCAGATGAGAGCGAAGACGACCCACCATCGAACGAAGACAGTGATTCCGAGTTCTGTGCCCGCATATCCAGGCGACACCTCTCCAGGCCCATGAGGCAAAGCAGGCGGTTACGAAGGAAAACGGTCAAGAAAAAATACTCTGAAGATGACGAAGACGAAGATTCCGAGGACAATTCAAGCAGAGAATCTGGTGAGTGTAAGAAGCCGTAGCTGTATGCAATACCCCGTACTGGAGAGGGGAGGAGTTGGAAGTCTGTCCCAACCAACACGAATTAGTTTGCTCGCTTTGCCCCCGTCCGATGCCGTCTTTGCTCTGACGCAGCTAGCTGCTGCTTCTGCAGAAACTGGTGTTGAGACCTGGGTTTGCTCGCTTTCCCCCGTCCGATGTCGTCTTTGCTCTGATGCAGCTAGCTGCTGCTTCCGCAGAAACTGGGTTCTGGGCATTGTGCGTCGCTGTGTGTTTAATTGGATGCTTGTGCTGTGATTCAAAAGGGCACCTTTGTCGAAAGGTTCTGTTTCCTGTTTGGCACGTGATTGCAGGGAAGAGAAACGATGGAGGCAAAAGTGTGTGACTTTACAGCGACTTGAAGACCCTCCAAATACCTTTTGAAAAAGCTTCTGAAGGAAATATTTTCCTTCACTTTGAAAGAAAATTTCCTTCACCTGCATGGCATTCTGTCTTTCCTGGCAGCAACTGGTAATGCCTTAAATCTCTCCTCTGATTATCCTTTTTGGTTTTTAGTAACTGAAGACTCCTGCATCACCGGAAAACCTAATAATTCACTTTATTCTACTTGTCCTTCAGCCAGCTCGTTTTCTGTTCGCAGTTGGAAGCGTGAGAGTAGTACCTGGGCAATACTTAAACCTTGCCGTGATTAGCATATTTCATATTAGCATATAGTGAAGACTCTCCTCCATGTTTCTGCTTCCTCTGAGACTCAGTCCTAGAAAGTGGCAGATACACACTTATTTTTACTCACTTGTATTGTGAATTTAAGGTACTAAGTACACTGGAGCATTAACATACTGCAGCATGCGTGACCTTTCCAGTGTTTATCTAGAACATAGATGGTGAACATGTTGGAATAAGTGGCTTTGAAGTACTGGTTTCCAAAAGGAGGGTTCACGCATGGAGAGATGAAGGTAGCTGTATGCACTTAGTCGTTGCTGTCTCCCTGTCCTGGATGCATCACTGCACTAATCGTGAGCTGTTATCAGTGAAGACACTGGCAGAAGGCTGAAGAGGTCACTCGTATTCTATAGAATCACAGAACCACAGAATGGTTTGGTTTGGGTTGGAAGGGACCTTAAAGACCATCCAGTTCCAACCCCCCTGCCATGGGCAGGGACACCCTCCACTAGACCAGGTTGCTCCAAGCCTCATCCAGCCTGGCCTTGAACACTTCCAGGGATGAGGCATCCACAGCTTCTCTGGGCAACCTGTCCCAGTGCCTCCTCACCCCCTGCGGGAAGAATTTCTTCCTGATATCCAATCTAAACCTCCCCACTATCAATTTAAACCCGTTACCCCTTGTCCTGTCACTACAGGCCCTTGTAAAAAGTCCCCCCCAGCTTCCTTTTAGCCCCTTCAGGTACTGAAAGGCTGCAATAAGGTCTCCCCGGAGCCTTCTCTTCTCCAGGCTGAACAAGCCCAACTCTCTCAGCCTGTCCCCATAGCAGAGGTGCTCCAGCCCTCAGAGCATCTTCGTGGCCTCCTCTGGACTCACTCCAACTAGTCTATATCCTTCTGATGTTGAGGGTTCCACAGCTGGACGCAGCACTCGACCTGCTGGCCACACTTCTCTGGATACAGCCCAGGAGAAGCTATAATGCACAGCTCTTTGTTTCCTGGTGGACAGACATCTGTGATGAAATTGGCTGATTCCAGTATCATTCCATGTATGCCCAAGATTATCGTCTTAACTATGTGTTTCTCTCTTTTACGCCCATTATTGTCCCTCAGGATCCTGCTTTAGGCCTGTTTGAGCTAAGGAAATAAGGTAGCCTGCGAGTTGCTTTGTCTTCAGTCTCCAGAGATGGAGTTTCTTTCTGAAGGTGGTCGTTCTCATTGACTTGCTCTGATTCTTTCTCCTAATGTTTTAGGAAGTAAAGAGGGTGCCACTTTGGCCTGTGACTCAAGTCAACCACTCACTTAGGAACAGGGTGTGACATGTATAGAAATGTTTTATCTTGGGATAATTGTTCTGGCACAGCTCAGTGACAGAACAGCTGAAGTGGATTCAGGGCTGCTTTCAGCTTATGTAACTCAGTTCATTCCTAAGGACGCTCGCTGCAGTCGGCTGCTGCAGGGAGGGCTGTGAATGACGGCACGTCTCTTCTCTACCGTTTCTCTTTGAAGCACACTTACAGTCCAGTGAGACTGAGTCTTGCTGTTTAAATTCTGTAACTCAGATCTTACCTGGAGTTTCACCTTGTCTGTGGTTTTTCATCTGTCTGTTCTTAAAGCATTCAAGTAGAGTGCAATTTATTTAAATTTTTAAACCAGAAAGGACTTCCCAGTGTCAGTGGCGACGTGTGTCATCAGTTCACCAAGGTGGTTCGCACTGTCAGGAGCAGGCTGGGTGGAGAATGGATGGA